ATATATAGAATATAAATATAAAGATATATTTAAAAACCAGCTGTTAGTAAGATGGGGTTAATGAGCTGACCTCCAGCCTCATTGGGGTATATTCCCTGCCAGGAGCAGCACTTAGGCAGGCAGGGAGGCATCAGCAAGGCGGGTCTGCAGACAAAAATACTTACCAAGAAGAAACTTAAAGGGTGTTTTTATATTTAAAAAAAAATGCTATTTTCCATAGGCTGGGTCTGCTAGCTGACCTTTTCACTGCAAATCACTTAACACGAGGTTCAGGGAGCAAAACAAGCCTTTATTTGTTTCACCTTTTTATTTGTTTCACCTCTTTATTACTCCGGAGTCCTATTTACCCTGTTTTTTCAGAGCCAGCTTTGCTCGGCTGGGGAAAGCCCATGGAAGGACAACTCATTGATTGATTTCATTGATTTTCATGAAAACTGGTTCTCTGCAGGTTTCTGACCCTTGGTTAACTGCGTTATACTTCTATTTCTCTGCTACCCCCGTCGTCTTGTTCAGGACTTTGAGCGTGGGAATACAGCCGAGGGGATCCAAGGTTATTTTGGGGCAGATAAGTAAATGTTTACATCCCAGCCAGCAGTCCTAAGGGATTGATTTCAGAGCAGGAAATGCAGATGTCTGGCTGGTTTTCTGCTATACTGGCCTGATGGTATAGCACCCATCCATATAGCAGATGGTATAACATCTCGGTGTTCATCCCAGGTCTGCATCTCGTTTCCATGAGGGCATCCCTACAGCTCTGGGTATCACTGCCCATTTTTTTTTTTTGCTTTGTTTTATTTACAAGCCCTTTTTCCCAAACCCTCAGGCTCCTGGGGAAATGGGAAAGAGCTGGCTCTGCAGCCATGGGAGCCAGGCTGGCTTTAGGGATGTGATGTCTGGGCTGTCTAAGGATGCAGAGCCAGGCTCCATGGGCGAGGCAAGGGGAGAAGCCACCACCCCTCGAAATCATCCAGCGTCCTGCCATCGCACCCATGTTTGTACACACAGGCTGGGGTGGGTCATGGAAACTCTTAACATTGTGTAAAAAAACCCCAAAATACCCAGCCCTTATTCTGCCTATGGAAAAAGTTATTCGCGGCATTGAAAATGTTCTTTGTGGCAACAGCTCTGATGGAGCCTGAAAGAGATGAGAATATTTTGAAAACGGGACCACAGCTGCCTTAATAAATAGTGCTAGCCTGTGCCAGAGAAAATATATATATTTTATATATATTTTTATATATGTATATATATATAGCTGTAGGAGTGAATTTAAAGGCTGCCATGCTGGCACAGCCTTGCCCATATGCACCAGGCTGGACTGCATCATTTTCTCAGAGAAATCAGGGCACTGCATCCCCATCAATGCCTCCCTCCCCACAGGGCTGGGACCTGCAGTCTTAAGGGCACCTGTGCTGAGTGAGGGCAAATTGTCCCCAGGTGGGACCTGCTTTACACCCCTCCCCAGGAGCTGGAATCAAAGCTGGGGGCACCAGGAGCTCCCCCCAATTTCTGCTTGCAGAGCAGTGATGTTTGCATTTCTCCCCATGCCGCTCAGGAAGCCTTGAGCACAGAGCAAAGGAGGGACGCTTGCTCCTGCACGCCAAAATACCCTGGATCATCATCAAAGAGGTTTTTTTTGGCCAGTTTGGGAGTCCAGCTCCGTTGTTGTAAAAGCAGTGAGTGATTTTATTACTTTTTTTCCTTCTTTCTGGCTGCAGCGTGGGGGTAACGTGGCAACGGTGACTTTTGTAGCTGTGCTCTGCTACTGGCTAAAGAGATTATTTTTTAAATGGATAATATTGTAGTTATTTATATTTCTATTTGCCTTCCCATTCCTGAGGGTTTGGTGTATGCTGATATACCCTTTCCAGGTTTTTTTCTGCAGTAGATGTGCTGTACTTCTGCTCTTTTCACATAGCAAAGGTCACAAATAAGGGTATAATTAAAAAACCCACCTATATATAATGAGACATGATGAACCCGTAACCGTTGGCAGTGCTAAATGGTATTCGCTATCCATACAGGGATAAAAGCTGTCTTTTAAATCCCTATTAGAACATATTTTAATATAAAATGCTTATAAAAAAAAAAGAGGAAAACCTTTTTGGAACTGAATAAAAGCCCCGTGACTTGATCTGTGGGAAGTTCAGGGTCGAAAGCTGCCTCGTAAGCAGAGGTACACTCTAATTCCTTGCGTGTGCAAGGGCATCGGTGCTATGCAATGGGTACAGACGTGTTTTCTCACTGCTCAGCCTTTGCGTTTGGATGGAGCTTGTTTCTTGTGAGCAATATTTTAGTGGAGAGTTGCACCCTGTTCATCCATGTGTACCCTTAGATCAGCTGCCTCCCTCCATGGAAAGCCAAGCTTTCTGGCAGAAACTATTTTCTGGAGAATAATAATACATATAATAAACATGTGCAATAAATAAATACATAAATTCTCTGGATGGGGGGGTGAAAAGGTGGCCAGGGACCACATCCCAGCTCCCTTGTCCCCCTCCAAAACTCCCCTGAATAAGACAACCTGTGAGACCCCTGCTATTTTGTTAAGATTATTGACAGGCTGATTTTTTTGACTCAAAAATATGCACAAATACAGCTGTTCCTGGCCAGATTCTCCTTTTCTGCATCTGTCCATCAGACAGGGGCCCTGGCAAAGGGACCCCTCTTTGGGCTTAACAGAGGTAAAAGGAATGGGGCTCCTCTTACCTCAGCCGGGGTCCTGTCCCCCCCCCTTCTGGGTGAGTAGAAATCCTTGGAAGCTTAACTACAAGTGTCTTTATGTTTTTTCATACATCGAAAGGGGAAAATATGCCGAGGAGCCAATATTCCACTGGCACGTGGAACTGCAAGGGGAAACCTGCCGCAGCCCCAGATAATCACCGCAGCTATCAGGGGCTTCAGGGCTGTGTTTTTTTTTAAAAAAAACCAACCCTTTTTTCCTATTTTCTCCACCCAGCTGTGGCAGCTCTGCTTAATATAAAATGTCAGATGCACCCCAGTCCCACGGACATCAGCTTTCCAAGTACCAATTCAGGAGTATTACCTAACCGTCAGTGAAAATAAAGCATGTTTTGGGGCTGGGGGTAATATAATTTCTGTTTACTGCAGCACGGGAAGAGGCTGAGGTCAGGGGAGCTGTCGGTGGGCCGGGATGACAGCAATGCTGGGGAGGCGCGTGCTGGCACAAGGCCACCGCAAATAGCTCTGACATAAAATAATAATAATAATAATAATTTCCATGTTTTTCTTTCTATGATGTACCTCTCCAGCAGAACCCCCCGATGAAACCGTTGGA